GGGGGGGCAGGCAGAAGTATGATATTCTTGAATACTTCTATATTTAACACCTTCTCAAATACCAATCAAAAGGAAAAGTTTATCAAATAAAAAACCAAGCTAATTGAGTTAAAAGGGGTTATCTTAAAACAAGTGTGCATCTGAAAGAGTGAATTCTTAACCTCTCCAAGCATGTATACCCAGTTGTCATGCAAGAAAATTACAAACTATTTCACATATTGTGCAGCAAAATCATCTCTAGTATCTTTCTTTTCAACATCTCAAAGCATGAATTAGTAGTAGAAGATTTCTATCATTATGCAGTACAGTCATCTCCATTGCCTTTAGTTTTGGTGAGGGAAGGGAAGCCAAACTCCAAGAGTCTTGATCCCCTTATAAATCCATAAAGGGGATAAAAAGGGATTATCAAGATGTTCCTAATCCATATTTGTCTCCTATTGGAGAATCAAATAAGTACTCTTAAAACAGAAGGAGACATCAGAAGAAATCATGGGAAGCAAACATCAATAATCCAGAATGAATCTTCATAAAGCCTTAAGACTTGTGAGAGAGTCATACTTGTGCCTCGCAACGTACTATTGCCATGACTCTATCATTGTACTCTTCGATGCTCAATGGTGGGAACAAAAAATGCCTTCTTGCATATAGCTGCACAGTCATAAGGTGCAACAAGATTAGATATACCATTCAAAAGTTGCATCCCAAATTGTTTGATATTGTAGCTTCTAGTTTTAAAAGTATCCAGTATGGCATTGACAGCTGATAAATAAAGTGTTAGTTCGGAAATTGATTTGTTAATTAATTAAGATATTAGAATTTAGTTTGAGAAGATTGCCAGTTTCGAGCAGAGTGTTTTGCTTGACATCTTGCCTTCTGAATATTATCCTTAGATATAGTATTAAAGAAGCAAACTGAAAAATTCTCTCTGAGGAAGCAAGTATTTCTCTTTTATTTCTTTTTAGATAGGCAAGCGAGGACATTTTCTGGAAAGCAGACTAGGATTGTGAGACAGTATATTTTGGAATTGGGCTTTGCAAAAAAGTACTTGTTTCAACTACAAAAAATAAAGGCTTAGACTTTTTGTTTATATTCACCAAAACAGTAAGTTCAATCCCTGCCTCTGATTTGGCAGAGCCTACTAGCATGTGTCAAGCTTAGGACTCTTCACTGGGGTGTTCCAGAGCTCTAATGCAGACAAAGAAGAGAGTTTCTAGCATTTCCTGTAATTTGGAGTTGGACAATCCTAAACTTCAACACCCTTCTAAATCTTCTACTGTATCACTCAAAAAGGGGAAAATGTATAATATTCATAGTGAAAGATTAAAGAAGAATTAGAGTCAGTTGGGAGATTTTGTATGTTATTGGTCTGAGATAAGCTTAAGCGAAACAACATTGTCAGTTAAGATTCATATAACCAACCTCAATTTGCTTCTGTTTGAGGGGTAGTTTTTTGTTTGTTTAGATTTAGTTGGGAGAGGTGTTTTAGCTAATGCCAAATATAGGAGGCTAAGGTTCAACCTAAGTTTGCCCATCTTGGATGTTGTTTCTCATCTTGTAAAACATTTTTGAACTTCTCTCATGAGTGACATATATATAGCAGCTACCCTCTCACCTAATAGCATGACTCGAACTTAATTCTCTATCCTATATCACTGCAAAAAGTCATCAAGAATTTTATTGATGAGGATCACTTAAAGCTAATAATCCAAGAAACTGTATACATATCCAAAGAGAGAGAGAGAATATAATCAACAAGTAAGAGAGTGAATCCAAACCTCAAAGATGCAATCTCCAATGTAAGCAAGCGAGGCTGCATTAAACACGGACCGAGGCTTCTCAACTTTGCGTGCACTTGGTAACCATATGTCGTACCCCATATAGGTTTCATCCTCTTTCACTATTTACATATAAAAGAATAACATAAACAAAATCAATATAGAAAAATTACAATTATACAGTAAAATATCAAAAAATGCACAAAAGGAAAAAAAGAAATTAGTACCTTGGGTTGGTTTAGGAATTTCACGTTTAAGAAGGTCCGAAACCGAAATATTGGACCGGGTGGTGGAAGGGGAAAATGATAGAGTTGAATCAGAGGTTAGGGGTTTCTTGGGAGGAGTACGGTGGGGGGTATAAGGAAGTCTTTGGCTTGTGTCGACGGAGGAAGCCATTACCTTTGGGGATATGGAGAGAAGAGGAAGAAGAATCGCCATTGGATTTTAATACTTCAGCTACTCTCCGGGAGAAGTTTGGCAACGGATAATTGTATTCCGCGGTATTTTGACCCCTTTTAATCACGGAGTGCTTTTTAGAGTGTGAATTCTAAACTACCCCCGATACTTCTTGCAATTGTAAAACATTTCCCTTAACTTCATTAAGATTACAGTATGCTCTTACTTTTCCAATTACATTAGGGGATGAAAAACGAAAAGAAAGGGAAAGTAAAAATGAATATAAACTCCACATTTATTTTCTTGAAACTTTTGTTGATATCACCAGACTATACGTTTTGGTAGTACAATTTAATCTTTATACATAATTGAGATTTGAAGTATCTATATTCAATAGTTAATGACACTTGAATTGCTAAATGTTAAATGTGTGGTTTGTATACGTAAAAATCTGATCACAGTAGCCGACCCAGCTAGAACCCCGCCTAAGGGGCGGGATAGCGAGGACCACTATGACCTACTTCGGTCTAAGTACTTATAGTATACATTAAGTCAAAAGGCAATATTAAGTAATGACAAAAAGGCCACAGCGTGAAGGCATACCGATCGGAGAAGGTAGTCGCGGTCTCAGAGCTATATATAGGGGATGAATTCCCAAAGAAAAGGGGGGTTTTTTCGTTTTTCTCTCTCTATTCCCTCCTTCTATTTTCTTCCAAAAAGGATGTAAAATTGATTACCTTTTTTACTTTATGAAAGAAGAAATGACAAAGATGAATAGAGATTGTTCGCCCTTATTTTATTCTATTCATTAATTTCCGATTCATTTTTTATCTAGATTTTATTGTGCTTGACTAAAATTGATCTCATCATTATCATTAGTTGTTTTAATCAAAAAGGTTTTGACATCTTTTGGTCAAACAATTTGGCACCGTCTGTGGGGACTCTTAGTGAAACTTCCTAGTCTCTTCCAGATTAAAAATCGTAAACATAATCACCCACCAAAAAGAGCGGTAAGTAAACCTCACGTGCTAATCTAGATCATGATGTTGTATGCAAGTAGAAGTTACAGCCAACATCCTCCCCCGTACACCGGGCGGTCCATGAACCAGCTAAGGCAAACCCAACCCACGCACAGAAAGAGCACAAAAAAGAAGGGGAAAGAAAGCTGGATACGGCCACCGAATTTAGAACCACCACCCCATCAACCGTTGAAATGCCAGGCAAAACGAGCAACGCTATAGATCCACCCCCATTCACCGACTCATCAGATCGGGGTAAGAAAAATATCATTTTGGCTCACCTTCTGTTGTTTGCTCAAATAGGAACACAAGCGCCGCGCAGGCGAGCGAGCAAAGAAACATCTCAAATGGAGAATGGGAAATTACTACAAAACAACTGAAATATCGCCCACCAGACAATCCAACTTCTAGAAAATGACGCCCCTTAAGCCGTACTCTCTCCCCCTCACCTAGGAGTTGTCCCAATAGGGTTTTCCCGAGGACTTAGGGACCGAGTCGATGAGAGGGACATCCCCAAGTTCAAAGTATAATTCATTATCCCGCCCACCAATGACATCTCAAGACCAGAAAGTGAAAAGATTGGACAAGGAACCTCCAATATGTGCACGAAACGTAAATAGTAACGTTTTATACTCTCCGACATTACACTCTCCGATGTAAACAAGATCAAGCAAACTGGGACTCCCCAGAGGATAGCCGACTCTCCAAAAAATTGGGACTAACGACGGGTTAATATTTCGACGAAAGTTCGAAATAACACCTTTAAGGCCAATGGCCATCACCGAAAGAAAAATGACTTCGCCCGAACCAACGGTAGTTTGGACCAACCCGGACGACCCAAGTCATGACAAGCTTCGTCCGAAATAACGAATATGTTATAAAATCTTATTTTAAATCAAGAGCGAATCTGCTCAAAGCAATAAGTCACTTGTTGACCTTGCCCAAATAGGCAGTTCAACGACTCCATTCAGACTCACACGACGAAGTCCTACTTAGTCTGACAGAGATTAAATTCCTTAAAAATCAGGAATAGACCATACTGAAATCCGAAATTTCACGCCAAAATTATGCAAAGAAAAAGGAAGGGGAGTGCAAAGACATACACCGATGAAAGCTTCTCTTTATCTAAAGCAGTTGCGCAAATATTCACAAATTACATACGGCTAAATGTAGGGCAAGTCCAAAGAAAAAAACACAAAGATAAATAATTTTTTTACTCGGCGTCATCACCGTCGTCCTCATCACCACCGTCTCCAAGAAGTATCTCTTCAGCATCAGCATCCTTGTCGGCCCCGAGCGTTGTAGGATCATATCTGCAATTAACACGAGCCTCTCGTGCCTTGGCCCGAGCTCCTTCATATGCAGCCTCAAAAATATTGCTCGCTTCCCACAAACTCTTGTATATGTCCCGCTGGGCTTCGGCATGTACCCATAGCTCGTGCAGATGATGGGGCACAGCGGCGGAGGTAGATTCGACTTGGGCCAATAATTGTGCCTTCTCGGTCTCACGAGTAGTGACCCAGTCCCCTAAAGTCGATGTTTCCCGATCGATGTCACTAATACGCTCTTCGAGTCTCGCCTCCCTAAGCGTCATCGTTACCCTCTCAGATTCCTGCTCGGATTGAAGGACACGGATAGTGTCCTCTAAAGCAGTCGCCCTCGCTGAAGCCGACGCCCAAGCACTCTCAATGTTCTCCAATCCGGTAACCTTTCTCTCCGGTTCAACTAACTTTCCCACCCAATCCGCACTCATCGCCTCGACCCTGATGTCATCGGCCCTATGAGCACTCTCAATCTCCACCATATACGTCTGAAAAACAAAAAAGATTGATTAAGGCCAAGGTCGCCAAAGATGAAAAGAACATAAAAGAAAGAAAAAACTTACCCTCAAGCCCATAGCAGCCACTTCATGCATCAAATCAATATCACGAACGTCCCGGAGAGCCTGGCTCTCGGCGGCGAAACACATGAGGTCAAACTGCGGTATCAGGTCTTTCGTATCCCATAGGAGGTTGATATCCGACGAGATTTCAAGTATACGGGATGGGCCTCCCACATATACCACCGAACAAGTAAGGCCCTCTTCAAATATCCTGACCTCATCAAGATCGAGATCAGACTCAGATTCGTAGTCATTGACCACGACGCCTTTCCCCCCCTTTGCGGCCGAAGAAGAAGCACGACCTGATATAGAAGATGAATGCCCGCCCAAAGTAACTACAGCGGCCTCGGGACTCTGACTCCCTGTCGTAGTAGTCTGTTGGTCACTTATAACGGCCGGGATCTCTATCGGCGGGTTGATCACAACGACCAGATCCACCTATACAGAAAGGCTAGTATCGTTGCCCGTCCCTGACTCCATTAAGGGTACATCATCTTCTAAAAATATCACGGTTGACGGAGCCATTTCAGACTCCACCCATCGTCTCTTTGACGGTCCCTTGACATCCTCAGCACGAAAAGACTACCCCGTTGGGTAGACAGTAGAAGTTGGAGCCCCAAATTGAGGAACAACTTTCATCCACACGGCTACGGCCACAGATCAACTTGATCAGCCCTTGCCGGAGGTAGGGCAGCAGGTCTCCATACGGGCCGAGCAGAGGACGTTGGCTGACGAAATGCAAGTGGAGGAGCCATCGCTCTTCGCACTCTCCCTGCTAACGATAGATGTTATATAAACAACAAAGCCAAATTGCAAAATAGAAAACAGTGACGGCGGTAAAGTTACTTACTAGTAAGGGACTTAGACCCGTATTTCTCGTAGAAGGACGACCATTCGCGAACTCCCACCGTATGAGGAAGAATGGCGTTCACCCATTCGCGGATATCATCAACAGGCGCAGAAGGTAATCTTGGGGCTGCAAAAGCAAAAATAATTAAATAGCCGCCCAAAGGAAAGCGGTCGACTATCATTCCGACTAAAGACACAAAAACTTACGGGCGAAGTTCCATCTCTCAGGGAATCTTGCAGGGTTCACCACAAGGTGCTTAGTCCACACATAAAAACAGTTTTCATAAAATGACGGTTGTCCCTGTTGTCCATCCTTACCACCAGACTCTTCGTCCCTCGATGGCGCATGTGGATCATCGTGCCTCGGATGAGTTGAGGCGAAAAGATATTGAGCATGTGCCTCAATGTGACCTCCCGACCAGCAAGCTCTGCAAACTTGAGCAGTTTAAGGAACAATATATACAAGTACGGCGAAAGTTGAGTTAGACACACCTTATAGAAACGGTAGAAATCTACTATTAAGAGGGGAAGAGGAAGCGTATACCCGACGATAAAGGGATAGGCGTAGAACGCACAATAACCCGGGCGATCGAAATGTATGATATCGTCTCCCATCGCCGGCAGCATTTTCAGCATGGTGAGGGATCCCCCATTTTGCCCTCAGCTCCGCAATCCCCGCCTCAATCATAAAAGAGGGAGCAGGTTCCGGCTCTTCTCCGGCGGGACTGTGGAAATCGTTCTACGGCTTTCCAGGTCGAGGCAATATTTTGGCCGCCGTCGGAATCCCCTCATCTTCTATCACTTCCACTCCTCTAAGAGCAGGAATATCATTTTCCGACCTCGAAATTGCGGCAGGATTATCAGTGCGGGAAGAACTGCCAGCCATTTGTATCGATTTAATTGAACAAAGGGCTTAAGAAAAAGAAGAGATGGGGGTTAAAAGTTCCAGCTAACCAAAGAAGATCCGAAATCTAAAAGTATATGAAAAGAGGAAGATCTACAATGTTTTCTCAAAAAAGGCAAGAAAGTGTGTCAATCGAATGGTGTCTTTCCTCTATTTATAGGGACATAAATTCCCCGGGAAATCCAAGAGTCGCCAATCTAAACTGATAAGGGCACGAAATGGTTTAATCATCAAGAAATGTATGTCATAATGACAGTAGTCACGAACGACGTTTCAAATCGAACAAATGCTTTGATTTCGAACGGTCGCGACGATCTAAAGGCACTATTATAGCGTCATCTCATTGCCTCGATTTAAAGACTACGTCTGAGGCATGAACAGTCAGATTTCTCTTAAATGTTCAAAATCATAATCCACCCGTCGGTCCCACCAATAGATGACCCCGACGGACAGA